GCGAAACACTACGGGATATGCACATCAAAGACATCTTTACAGACACATCACCCAAAGTAGTGATAGTAAAGGCTAAGATCAGCAGCTGGGACTACATCAAATTAAAGAGCTTCTGCACAGCAAAAGAGACAATAACAAAAACTAAGAGAAACCCCACCGACTGGGAGAACATTTTTGCACACAACACTAATGATAAAGGACTCATCACAAAAATCTGCAAAGAGCTGATGAGACTCAACAACAACAATGAAAATAATCCTGTCAAAAATGCACAGAAGAGCTAAAAAGAAACTTCTCTGAAGAGGAAATGCAAATGGTCTACAGGCATATGAAAAAGTGTTCAACATCACTTGGAATCAGGGAAATGCAAATCAAAACTACCATGGGATACCATCTTACACCAGTGAGAATGGCACATATTAAAAAAACTAGCAACAACAAATGTTGGCGAGGTTGTGGAGAAAAAGGAACTCTCCTGCACTGTTGGTGGGAGTGCAAACTGGTCCAGCCACTATGGAGAGCTGTGTGGAGATTTCTGGACCTACTAAACATAGAGCTTCCATATGATCCAGCAATTCCACTCCTAGGTATTTACCCAAAGGACACAGAAACATCAACTCCAAAGAGCATCTGCACCCCTATGTTTATAGCTTTGGAAACAACCCAAATGGCCAAAAATAGTTGACTGGATCAAGAAGATGTGGTACATATATACCATGGAATATTACTCAGCATTCAAAAAAGATAAACACATGCAATTTGCAGCAACATGGATGGCGCTGGAAGGAATCATGCTCAGCGAAATAAGCCAGAAGATAAAGAAAAATACGGGATGGTCTCACTCATAGCAGGAATCTAGAAAATTTAAATAAGGGACCAGGAAAATGAATAACTATAAGAAAGTGAAAATCAAAATCAACAAACAACTATGAACCAGAGACACTCTATGGGGGGTAGGGAGTGGGGAGGGGAGGGATTGGGGTCAAAATAAGGGGGTTGCAATTGTATGGGGAATATAAAAATTAAATTTAAAAAAAAAATGATCAGAGGGATGGTCTGCAAAGGCTTATAGTCCCCATCCAACGTGGGGAGCAGGACAGCCTTCCTTAACTCATTCATTTGTTCATTCACCTCAGCAACATTCACTGGGTGTTTGCTCTGGGTCAGGCTCTGTGATAGGCACTGGGAGAAGAGTAGAGATAAGTCTCTGGACTTATTCCTTAATTAAATCTTATAACTTACTTTGTTACTTAAATGAAAAATATCTCTTGACTCAGGAGCTCACAGCCCAGTGGAGTGAAAGGCAAACAAAGTATATCCCTCTACAGTTTGATAAATGCTATCATAGAAGTGGATGTGGGGGTCCAAAGCAGAAAAAATAATGTGTGGTATGGTTTGGGGACAAGATGGACTTTTATTAAATAGGTTTTTAACCAAGAGACCAAGAGCTAAAAAATAGAGATGTCATTCTGCTCACTTTGGCTATTAAGAGTCTAGAAAAAGGGACTCATGGGAAGGGAGGGGTGAAAGTAAAGAGAATTTGCATGAAATGAGAATCTAGTGGCAGGCACCGTGTTAGGCTCCTTCACATCAGTACCACTTTTAACCAGTACTGCAGGTTGCCTGGAGATCCATACGTTAGAGATCCCATTCTGGACCTCTAGTCCTTCACCAGCTGCACTCTTGCTCTTAGGTGAGGAGTCTCTGGTATATGGGAAGTGACCCTCCAGAGCATGTGACCCTGTATATATTGGGTTCCAGAACTGTCTGCCCAAATGGCCCTAAGTTTGGAGAGTTGGCAGCACTGGCCTATATAATTGGGTCCACAAGGAGCAGGTATTTGGAGGGAAATTTGGTCAGAGCTTAGAAGTGAGGACTAAGTTTATACTGGATAAAGTCCATTTGGGTGTAGGTCTAGTGGGATGGGGTGCAAATAGGGGATAGGCTGAAGGTCATTGCCCTCCATTGCCCAAGACCCCACAATAATCCACCTGACAATTCCAAGTGCTATTATCTCCTCTTCAATGAAAATATGATAAGTTATGCAGAAGTCTTGAGCAATATGCCCAAAGTGACCTCATTAGGAAGTAACAAGCCTTTATAGTCAGAAAGGGCTTATCATATGCCAAATCCAGGTTGCTCCCCCATGAATGCTGTCCGGGGAAGGCCTCTTTCTTCTCCCACTCAACCCCCTCTCTCTGATCAAATTTATTCCCAAGTAGCCAACAATTGTAGATTCATTCCAGACTAATAAGCTCCTCTTTTAAGAAGCAAATACTATTGATGGAGTTCAATATTTTAATAATTTATACCAGGGCACATCAAAAAGACTGTTTATCCACCCATCCCTTAAATGTTTGCATTTCCCAGTGTCTGACTCAATCTATTGTGGCTTCAAATCCTTAGCGAGGGAAAGACATTAAAGGTAGGGAGATGGGGATGTACAGTTTAAAAAAACTAATGTAATATCACAGTAAAATTGTATGGAGAATGAAAAAATACTGGTTTTATATTATAAACATGGCAATATGTTTAACAAATGGGTCATACTGCTTAAAAAAAGATTAAGGAGGCCTCCCTGGTGGCACAGGGGATTAAGTCTCAGCACTGTGAAGCCATCCACAGCTGCTGCAGCACAAGTTCGATCCCTGGCCAGAGAGCTAACCCACATGGCAAAGCAGACCTCTCCTGTCTTGCCCACTGCTCCCCTCAGCTGTGTATTTCAGTCAATCTGCCTGTTCTGCTCCCCACTCTGACTCTGGTGAATCCTCTCAGCAACCCCACCACCCCTTGCCTATACCCCAGCTCTTGTATGCATAAATAAATACATCTTTTAAAAAAAAAGATTAAGATGCTACACTCCACACAATCCCAGTTGCTATCCTTGTTTCAACAGCCAGTTGCACATTGATATCGCTTGAATCTGTCTGAGTCATAAGTTTACTGAAATACTGTAATATTCTGTACTCTGTGTGCTTTGCCCCCTGCTTGGAATTCTCTTCTTCCTCTCCAGCACCCCACCCCAATCTGTTCAGAATCTACTTCCTTGACCACACACCAACATGTTTGGCACACCAACATGTTTCCTTGGCTCCAACCCAACAGCACAATATTTACAAAGGTATTCGCTTATTAGTTACTTCCTACCAGACTGTGAATCCTCGAAAGAGTACAAATTTGGTGTCTTCACCATAGTTAGCAGGTAGCCAAAATAGCCATTCAACAGTTTTTGTGGAAAGAATAAAACTATCCCTGTCACGTAAAAGCAAAGAATAGGAAGAAGGAAAATACTTATTTATAGTATCTTGAAGCTGTCTTTGTCAGAGAAGTATATTGAAAAGAATGAAATGCAACCTTTTGGTATAATTGCTCTTATAAGACAAATATTCCAATAGGAAAAAAAGTGAACGAGTTGAAAATGTTCATTTGGAATAAAACTGGCCTCACTAGTAATCAAATAAGTGTAATTTAAAATAGTCAGATACTTTGCTTTCTCAAAAGCCAAAAAATACATATAAATAATAACAAGTATTTTGTGTCTGAAATAGAATAAGTTTTCTTACATACTGCTTTTAGAGGTGTCAGTTTCTATTTCTACAATTTTTCTGAAAAACAGTTTGTGGCCATCAAGAGGCCAGATCATGGCCATGCATTTGATTTTAACCAAGTCTTTCAGAATACTTAGTAATACGGGAAAGTTATTATGAGATAATATTAAGTGAAACACTATAATCATAGAAATTGGTGTATATTATTTTTTCCACTTGTTAAACTAAACATAAATATATAAATACATATATAATTCTCCTTTTTAGAGACACACTATATTAACATATACACTTCCCTTTCCTAGGCACATTCTAGTTTCAGGTTTATTAGATGCCTTTCTAAAGGCGGAAAAGCATGACAAGGGGTAAAAAAAGGCTGTTGACGCCCTCATTTTATATAAATTATTTATATCATGTTGAGACTTCTTTTTAAATAGCAACTTAGAAACATGGATTTTTACTCATTTATAGTAAACGAAAGTTAAATTAAAATGTCCTGAATTTTCCTCGTATATGCTTCAGCTAAACCATGTTACCAGCTATGTCACCTTTACCCCAGTTTCCAGTTCTGTCCAAATGGGGTGACCTTTACCCCAGTTCTTTTTTTTCTTTCAAACTTTTTTTGGCAACTGGTAAATTTTAACTTTTATTCCTTTCCTGTTGAGATTTTCTAGGCTTCTGTCTCTTTCATCAAATAAGTTAGTCATCACTTTCACCCACATGTCTTTGGCAAATGTAGACCCCTGCCTGTTCTGGTCTCATCCCAGTCAATTGTAAACATGTCAGGCAGGGGAAGGCCTTGGCAGATTTACTTGCACTACCCAGCTCATCTCAGCCCTTCTAATGGAGATGATGTGCTATAGGTTCAAGGAAGGAGCATTCAGCAACAAGGGAGCATTTTGCAGAAGATGCAATGTGAGAGTATTAGGAAACTGGAGAGGAACCTTGCATAAGTCAGAGATAGACACAGAAAAAGTGGAAGGAATACGGCAGACACTGAATTCTCTTTGGTCCTAGTGTTTGTCTTGCATTCTCTGCGCCCATGGGTTAAAGTGTGTATCTGAATGCATGCATTGCCCATGCTATTGTAGGTAGTATTTGCACAAGCTGACCATGTGCTAAGAGCTCTGTATGCAGTATTTTCTTTAATCTGCACCACAGGCCTGAGACACAGATCCTGTTAGGTCACCTAATGCCCAAGGTCACACAGCTGATAAATGCTGGCGCTGCAATATGAGCTCCGAAAATCTAAGCTGTTGCATTTCACAGCTCAAATGCATTTCAGTTATGATCTATGATAGCCAACTTTTAGCCTCTGTACTATTTATTTTCTGCAATGGAAGGATTAAATCCAATGGTCCAGTGCTGATTGTAATGACATACTCTTTATGACTATGGGGGAAAAAATCTTATATGGTCACACAATTAATACACTTTATTCTTTTCCTCTAGAGAGAAGAAATTATCAAACTTATTTTTGAATTATGTGGTAAGATTTGACTATTGAGAAAAAACATTAAAGCACCAACCCCACTCTGTTCCATATAGGTTGTTGATAGTGTCTCCCCAGAAGGTGTATAGTCCATAGCTAGTGGGAAAGTTTGAAGCCCATTTGAAAAGTTAATGGGAAACTCAGACGCGGCAGTGAGGTAGCCTGTGGGAATCCTGGCTTGTGGTTAAGAATTGTGAAGACTTTGAGGTGGGTGTCCGGACCTTCGTCAACACAGCCCCGCTTCGTATTCAGTGACACTTACCTGACCTTGGGAAGGAAAACACAACAAAGGAAACATGACTGCAGGGGCCAAACTGATATTTGAATCCAGCCTCACTGGTGATTTTAAAGCCTCTTTTTCCTGTAGCAAGAAGTCCCTCTGTATTGAGTTCTGAGCACTATTTCTGGAGCTGAATTCTACTTCAAAGGCAAAAGGGCAACTCAGGAGGTCATCTTACCACACAACTATTAATATATTTAAATGCTTCTGTGGTTAAATACCTTAGATTGAAAACAGAGTTGCCAGGGAGAGGAAGTTAGAGATTAACTAAAAGACAAGAAGTTAGTGGAGTAAAGAAAATGCTTATCGTGGACAGAGACAGGAATACCACTGTCCTTCCATACAAAGAGCTTTAGAACTGGCTTATCCCCACCCCCACCCCCAAAGATTTTTGAACTTTAAGAACTAACCTAGCACTCTCTAAGGTAACAGGTCAGTTAAGATATGCCTTCTGGTTTCCAGAAACCCTACACAAAGAAATCACAATTTCCTAGTAATTTTTTTATAGGATAGTGTGGTTGGGCACAATGAGGATATGAATAATGGGATGTAAATCTGGTCATTCTTACTGCCACTTGGAAGTTGCCATAAATGGAAGTTATTTATTAATCAGCATTCTGCACTCGTTCCCATTAAAGAGTTTTATGGTATGATTGGACAGCTGGTGTTTGATAAAATAGAAGTCACCTTAGACAACACTGTGAGTGACTTGGAAACACAAACTAGCACTAAGAAGGGGGTAACTTTTCTTATTCATAGTTAAAGGTCCTAATCTTTCCACTACAATGAAAAGTTATCTCATTCCCCATTGGCCCTGCCAATGAGTGAATATCCATTTTCATATAAGAATATGGTTGAAATCTGAAATATTAGCTTCCAGATTCAGGTTAAAAATGAATGGTGGAATGAAAAAGAACAATTTTGGATAGTGGTGATCTAGGGAGAGGGAGACGAATGTAATCAGGAGAGCACACACAGGGGATGCTGACCCTTAAGAATATTTTAGTTTTTAATAGAAGAAATGGGCACAGAGGTGTTTATTATTTTATCCTCTAAAACATTTTGAACTTTGTGGGTCTCTTGACAACATATTACTTTGGAAGAGGAACCAGGTATAGAAACCAGAAGGCAGAGAGTTATAAATTGTGATCACGGTCATAAAAAAGGAAGGTCACTATCGAGCCCTCAGGTTCACCCTTGCCTCTATCTCCTTTCCCCCCACCATTCTGACCCCAACTGATCATATTTTGAATTCCATTTCTGCAATGTTTCTACCTCAACTTTCATCTTTTAGGTTGTGGGCCCAAATGCAAAGAGGCTCCGCTAGAGCTGGTGTTTGTGATTGACAGTTCAGAAAGCGTGGGGCCAGAGAACTTTCAGATCATCAAAAATTCTGTGAAGACTCTGACTGATCAGGTCACTCTGGATCTTGCCACAGCCCGCATAGGCATAATCAACTATAGTCATAAGGTGGAAAAAGTAGCTCATTTGACACAGTTTTCCAGCAAAGATGACTTCAAGCTGGCTGTGGACAACATGCAGTACCTGGGGGAAGGCACCTACACTGCCACAGCTCTCCGTGAAGCCAACCACATGTTCGAGGCTGCAAGGCCAGGTGTGAAGAAGGTGGCCCTGGTCATCACTGACGGGCAGACGGATACCCGCGATGAAAACAACCTGACCCGTGTGGTACAGAATGCCAGTGATAACAATGTGGAAATATTTGTGATTGGGGTGGTGAAGAAAAGTGACCCTAATTTTGAAATGTTACAAAAAGAAATGAATCTAATTGCTACTGACCCAGATAGTGAGCACGTTTATCAATTTGATGACTTCGTTACCCTGCAAGGTAAGACTGTCAGCAATGGGGGAAAAATTTACATTGTTCTTCCAAGTACCACATCACTGGATAATCCTGACCGAAAATAGAAAGCAGGATATTATTGTAACACAAAACTCTAAGGTAGTCTCATCCAGTTTAGAAAACACAATCCCTTGTCTTTTATTCATTGGTAATAAACACTATGTAGCCTGGAAGTCAAAGAATGTGAATGAAAAGAAAAGAGTAGGACCTTAGAGTATTGCTAAGATTAGTTAATATCCAAAAAGTTACCTCACTCGATTAAGTGATGGAACCATCCAGCAGCAAGCCATAGACTCAGTGAATCAAGAAAAACATGATGAATGAAAAAAAAGGTCATAGACATCTATAGATATGAGAATTACAGAATGGGGATGATTCAATTCCATTCTTATGAAAACAGATAATGTTCTCGTCTGTTTTTTTAAGAACACATAATGAAGGAACACATCAGGAGTTTATCTTAAAGAACCACTTTTCAAGTATTCCTCATACAGCAAAGCTAATCTGATGGACTTTCCTTTGCTAGTTCTACATCTCACCTGAGCTGATGTTTCCTACTGAGACATTCCAAGACAGACTGATCCATGATTCAGCTATTGTTCAGTTTTGCTTTACAATGTAATAAATTCCAATTTCTTGAAAACTGACAACTCGTTCTGGCAGGGCTCACAACTGGCAAGCTTGTAAAGTAAAGAAAATTTATGTTTAATGTGGTTGCAGATTTCAGTTTGGCTCTATCGTAGGGCCTGAGGAAGCCTGGCACAGGCCCTGCCTGCTTCACAGCACTCTCGGCCTACCTGGGCTATCAGCACTGCCGACTCTAAAGATAGGGGACCATGCTTAGAACCTTCCAACTGTCTATTTCACCTTTCTCCAGAGTTTTCCAGCCTGGGGTCCCATTTTCTTAACACCCTGCTGGGTGATTGGTGGGTATATCTGATGCATTCAATCTCACTAGGCATAAATGTGTTAGAATGGCCAGGATAACACACTTCATAGAAAGTTGTATTTGTACAATTGAAGAGCTTTATCATCTTAGCCAAAGGAATTAATAATTTGTTGCAGCCAGTGAGGGCCCTGTTTTTGGAATGGCTGGCCTCTTGCTATCCCTAAAACTAGAGGCAACTGCTTATTCAACTTGTGGGTGAGAATAACCCATTAAGTAGAATAGGTCACAGTTATCTAACTAACTCTGTTAAACAGTTAAGTCATTGCATTTGGGCCACCAGATAGTATTCCAGATAGTGTTAAATTAAGTTATTTTAGATTGCCTTTTACAGATAATGTAAAAATGTTTTAAAATTTAGTTAACCAGGCAGTTGACTTCAAGTGATGGGAAGTTGTTTATTCTAATTAGTGGGCAGAAGATCTCTTTAAATGTTTTGAGCAATGATTCATTGTTCCCTCTGTCTCCCTTTTCTACTTTTCTTTCAAAAGACACACTGAATCAAAAATTGTTTAAAAAAACTTGTGAGGATTTTGATTCCTACCTCATTCAAGTTTTGGGTTCACCGACACTTCAACCTGGATTTGGGATGTCAGGAGAAGAACTCAGGGCATCCACTTCAGCGCCTCAGGAAGAAAATTCTGAATCTGTAAGTGATTGTCTTACGTCATTTGTGACTTTAAAATTGTGTATTCTGCCTATTTTACCTTAAAGACCATCTTATGCTGACTGTCAAGTATTAGCTGAGGTATATAATTTTTTAGGTGCTTAAATCTAAATATTAGTGCTTTGTCTCCAACATCTAGCTCTGAAATAGCTTTGGAATATATGAGAATGAATATGAGATTTTAAAATATTTCCAGGGCCTCCCCTGGTGGTGTAGGCGGTTGAGCGCCATGCTGTGAAGCTGTGCACAGCCTCTGCAGCGCCGGTTCAATCCCAGCCGGCCAGCGAGGGTCCCACATGGCACGGCAGACCTCTCCTATTGCGCCGGCTGCCTCGGCAGTGTATTTCATCAGTCTGCCTGCTCTGTTCCCTGCTCTCTCTGTGGTGAATTCTCTCACCCTCCTGCGACTCTGGCCTATACCCCGGTTCTTGCATAAATAAATAAATAAATCTTTAAAAAAAATTTAAAAATAAAAATAAATAAAATATTTCCATACTTTATAAATAACTAGTTATTAAATGTTACAAAAAATGTTTTATTATATCTGGACAAAGTAATCATAGAAACAAGCAGATTAAAGTATGCAATTTGAATCACCCATTTGTCATGCTTTGCAGATCCTTTCATTCCAGGTCATAACTCTCCCTCATTCATTTGTGCTGTGTATCCCACTTTGCACCCTCTCAAGTTTCTTTAAAGTCACACATGCTCAATCTGCCACTCTCCCATGCTCTAAGCCATGCTCTTGTTCATTTAGCTTCTACTTTTTTTTCTTTTTTTTTTAAGATTTATTTATTTATGCATACAAGAGCTGGGGTACAGGCCAGAGGTGTGGGGGCTGAGAGAATTCACGAGAGACAGAGCGGGGAACAGAACAGGCAGATTGACTGGAGTACACTGCTGAGAGGAGCAGCAGGCAAGTCAGGAGAGGTCTGCTGTGCCATGTGGGTTGCTCCCTGGCAGGGAATCAAACTTGTGCTGCAGAGGCTGCTGACAGCTTCATAGGTTGCGTCTTAACCCCTGCATCACCAGGGAGGTCCTAGCTTCTACCTCTAATGCCAAGAGTGGGGACCAAGTGGGAGGATATGCATACATATATATATGCAAGGTAGATGCTCTGTTTCAGAGTTCCCCAACCATGTGTGCATGATAGAACTAACTCCAGAATGTACTAAGACACATGTGACTGTCCTCGTAGCAAGATTATGGGTGCAGACTCAGTCAATCAGGTCAAGAGCTACTATTAGAAGTTCTTCTAAGTGAAAATTGGAGCGCTTCCTATAGTCACTGGTAAGCAAGTATTGTAGTCTTTTCTTCACCAAGTTACAACTGAGGCAGGTCTAGCCCAATCCTCACTATGCACATGGACAGCCTCTAGCAAGCAGCCACATAGCAGTCAAACCCGTGTCCTATGAGCTCAGAGAAGTCCCTGCACTGTCATTTTATGAAGACTTCATGGATATGAAAGATTCATTATGAGTCTGTGTAACAATATTCAAGCAGGATTTGGCTGTCTAATTGGACTAAAGCCCCAAGAAACTTCCAGATCTGCAGCTGGACCAAGGACCATTTAGGAATCAGGCCTAGGGTGCCATTCTTATGGGCACAGACTTTAGGACTCATTAGATGCATATACTCTGTTCAAAAAAAGACAGAAAATTCTACATTTCTATTTGATTATATATTAACAGACTTTGAGATGGGTAATTCTACTTGGGGCAACAGACTGTCCCTGGATTGTCGATTGAAATCAACACACACAAGTATACCACACAGTCTACATATTTATATTTATAAATATTTATAATATAAATATTTTTGGTTTTACAGGTCATTTGATCTTTGTGGTAATTACTCAATTTTGCCTTTGAAATGCAAAAGCAGCCTTAGCCAATGCTGAAATGAGTAAACAAGGCTGTTTTCAGAAAAAAACTCATTTATAAAAACAGCAGCAGAAGACTCAGCTTTGGCCTGTGGGGGGCTGCTGACCCTCATCCTTGCTGAGAAGTTTTAAATAAATTACAGATAACAATGGATATGGTCTATCTACTTCTGAGCAGGAAAGCAGGTTTTGCCTGCTTGTCTCTTGATCACTTTGCCCCTTTCCTAGTCAGTCCCTGTCCTTTTTCTAAAGGCTTCTTGAACAAAAGCAAATTCAGGTTTCATCCAGCAAGTGGTGCATAAACTGAGCTCTTTTCATAATCAGTGAATTCCAGTAGTATATATAGATCTTTATTGCTGTGCTAGATGGGAGGCCCTTGAGACATTGCTCTTGCACAAGAGACGTCACAGTCTATCCGAGAGATGGGTAAGTGCAAGAATTATTAAGATCTTTAGCAGAGCTGTGGATGAAGCCCAAGAGTTGCTCCAATTAATTTCAGGGGAGACTAATGTAAGGTCTTAAGGGGTAGTAGCAATGAGTTAAGTTTTCAGAATTAGGAGTGTTCACGGCAAGAGTAGAGGGAAGGGTATGTCTAGCAAAGGAAATATGTGAGCAAAGGGAGATTCCAAAGTGACATGGCATTTCAAGAAACTAGAATAAATTCAGTCTACCTGGAGACTAAGGTATGTGTGGTAGAATGGTGGGAGTTAAAGCTGGATAAATGATTTGTGGATGAATTATAAATGGTTTCAATGTCATGCTTCAGAGCATGAACTTCATCCATAGGCCAGGCAGCTAGTAGAAAGCAGAGTTTTTAAAGCAAATGGGGTCAAATAGTCATACTTGGTTCACAGGAAGAACAACCCTGGTCTTGGTGTCAAAGATAAATAGGATGAGGAAAGGAGACTAGATGCTGGGACATGAAGAGTTATCCAGGCAAGAGCTGTCCAGGCAAGAGGTAATGAGGCCCTAACCTCTGGCAGCAGCCACTGGATAAAAAGGAGACATGGATTGGGAGGCTATTTCTGTGGTAGAATGAATAGGATTCAGTGATTGAAAAGATTTGTAGGCTATGGAGAGGGAGGGGATTTGAGGTGACAGTTGAATTTCTAATTGGAGATGGGGTGAATTTCAGCAGTCTACTGAGGTGGAGAACTAAGAGGCAGTTTGTGAAGGAAAGTAAAAGTTTAGTTTGAACTAGTTGAAGTGCTTAAGGGACTTCCAAGGCAGTTATGACCATAAGCAAGACCATAATGAGGAACAAGACCATAAGCCTGTGATAGCACACCCAGGAAGTTTGATGGTACTGAGAGTCAGTGATATTAATTGATTACAACAAATGAATTTTCTAGTAGCTGGGAAGGGGTGGGCCTGAGAAGAGTACATCCAAATGGTTTCAATGTATATTACCAAGAATAACAGATGGAAGCTGAGCATGAGAGATAATGGAAGCTTGCAATAAACTTGCAATAAACTTGCAATAAACTTGAGCTTGTTGGACAGGTTCTCTTCTCATTCTAGACCTTCTCACTTGGACTTTCTTTGTAGAAGTCCCAAGGCAAAACTGAATTTTTAAATAACAAAATGTTTCTAACAGCTATTTAGTCTGAACAAAAATATATGTATTTATATTCACATTTATATCTGTCATATATTTATGTAATGTATAGACACACAGAAATACAAAAACATGTTTATATATCTGCACCTGCATGCCCACCTTTATTAATAAGTATAATGGTATCCAAACATTTAAAATAAAGTGTATGTCAAAACCTTTTGATTCTCAGATTGTTTCCCTGCCACTCGTAAGAAATACTGCAAAACAAATAAATGAGGACCTCAGAAGTCCTACTTTTTTCCTCTGTTGTTTCATCTATCACTCCTCAAGAATTCCAACTCTGTCCTTCCTCTTCCTCTTCTTTCTATCAAAACCTGTTCTTAGGGGAAAATCTGATATTGGTTCTTGACATTTTTGTGTGAAATCTTAATCAATAGGTTTCTACCTCCATGAAGGAATTAGCGTTTTTAGCATTTTATCAAACTTTGGCATAAACTTGATACACACTAAACATATGGGAATATGTATGTTGAAGCAGAAGGATTTCTCAGATTGTACTAAATTCCTAATACTTAGGCAATGCCCTGCTCTGTTGTTCTTTCTGACCAGTCGTGGGAAGCTAAACATGTAGATGCATTCTACTCTGTCTCTCTCCTACAATTTCTGGATAATCTGTACTTCTGGAATTTATTAAATTTATTAGATTTTATGTCATTAATTATTATCAATGTACCTTATAGTATTCTAAATGAATTTAAATTCCTTGAGGATATTATCTGTGACTAATTAAACTTTGTGTGCCACTTGTGATCTAAATTGTGCTTGGTCTTGCACAAGGTAGATGTTCAATTAATAAATGCTCACCAGATAAATGCTAAACCAACTGCTAGACTAAAAAACAAATCTGAAAATATTCTTCAATGAAAGACATCAATTATGCTGTTATAAAAAAATTAGGTGCATTAAAAAGTCCTTTTATTGCTCTAATCATGCTGATACTTCATGTTCTTTTCATTCTTTCAAGGTTTGGAAAGTTGGGTAAGATTTCCAGGATATAAGATTTCCAGGAATGGGGCAGTAAAACCAAGCATACATCATTTAATCAGACCAAATGATTATAGCCAGTAATGGTCCATTAAGTAAATAAGCTGACTAATTTCTTACATGAAGTCATTTGTTGTCATTCTAAGTATATTAATAGCTAAATTAATATCAATATAAAGGGTGTTTATTCACTGGAGCTGGTTCCTTGCAAGAATATTTTATTTTTTCCCCTAGATATCTGAAAGAGTAGAAAAGAAAGAAACCTACCTACCCTTTTTATGAAGCCTTTTTTTTTCATATTATGAAAAATTGCTCCTTGATTGCAAATAACTTAGGTGACTGGCAGCCTCTCTGTAGAAAGGCAGTAGTATTCCTTGCAGAGGGATTCCACAGTGGTCAGATGATGGAGACAACCACACTAGTTTGGAAAGAGTCCCTCTGGGTAGCTCCTGCTTCAGGTGGAGCAGTGTAGTAGAGGAAGAGGAGAGCTGTGGG